CCCCAGGCTCAGCACCCCCAGGCTCAGCACTCCCAGCAGCACCACCCGCAGCAGCACCTGAGTCACCTGTGACCTCGACAGGCTCAGCGACGGGAGGAGGGTCTACCTGAGAGACACCTGAAGGAGCAGGACCCTGAGGGGGAAGGGGGTCTACCGGAGGGGGACCAGGAGCAAGGAAAAGCGGCGGGGGAGGGAGGGGGGCAGTGCGGTAGGGGAAGAGACGGTAAAAAGGGACCGACTCGTCAAAGGTGACATCCTGAGAGGCGAAGACCCGGCGCGAGGTGGGGTGGTAAAACTGCCAGCCAGGCGCGTCAGGGACAAAGCCAAGGAAGACACAGGGAAGCGTGCGGGAGGAGAGCTTGTCCGCGGACGTATCGCGGACAAGGGCACGAGCACCCCACACCCGGAAGCGCGACGCATCGCCAACCTCCCCCGTCCAACGCAGTGTGGGCGAGGTCTCCGGCAAGGAGACACGGGGCCAGAGGTTGAGCTGATGCGCGGCGTACCGGACAGCAAACGGCCACAGAAAATGGGGAGCCGCCGCGTGGACCAAGGAGGTACGAGCGACCTCCATGACCAGGCCAATGCGGCGCTCAGCAACCCCATTCTGCTGTGGGGAGTCCGGAAGCGTGAAGGTCTGCTCGATGCCCTCCGCCTGACAGAAGGTCCTCAGGAGATCGGAGGAAAACTCACCACCTCTGTCAGAGTGCAGACGCAGGACAGGAAGATCCGTCCGGAAACGGCGGCGGAGCTGGAGACGAACCGTGCGGATCCAAGGGATCAGAACAGCAGGGACCTCACCCTTGGTGCGCAAGGGGAAGACCGTGGTGTAACGCGAGTAGTCGTCGACAACCAGCAAAAAGTACCGCTCACCGCCCTGACCACGAACGCGGGCTGGGCCCCACACGTCCAGGTGGAGGGTCTGCAGAGGAGCCTCTGTCGGGGGGAACGAGGAGGAGTGAGGAGCGGCGCGCTGCCGCCCCTCGACGCAAGGAAGGCAAGGCGGCGCAGGCGAGGCAGGGAGGGGAGGGAGGGACCTGGGAAGACCGGACACAAGGAGGCGACGGTGCATGCCACGAAGGCGTGGCAAGGAGGGGTGACCCAGGCGGTGGTGCCAGAGAAGAGTCTGGTGCGACAGGGAACGACACTCACAGGTGTGGGCCACCAGACCTGACGCAGACACCTGACCGACAGCAGCTACCTGGGGAGACGCAGTGGTCAGTGTGTAGAGACTCGACCCCGGCCGACGGGTGAACGTAGCCAGGTGACGGCCGGTCCTGGAGCACGTGCAGATCGCCACACGCTGTCCGCCAGGGGTAAAGGTGTCAACCCACTGATCCTGGAGGACAGCGTTGCTCACCAGGTTCGTCGAGAACGAGGGGAGGTGGAAACCCGACAACGAGCCAGACGGAACCGCCGGACAAGGGAGGACAGTGGTGGACTGGGCAAGGACTGGGCCCCCAGAGGGGTCAGCCAAGGAGACTGGGACCGGTGCAGGAAGCGGTGTGAGCTCAGTACTGTCACGAAAGAAGCAACGGGAAGCACCTGAGTCAAGGGTGAAGGTGTGACAGGCCTCAGCCGGTGCGGTACCTGAGAGAGGAGTCTGTGTGGGTGCTGTACCTGAGAGAGCAGACTCGAAACCAGCCGGGACAGCACTGGGGGGAGCAAGTACAGGGGGCACCATACCAGAGAGAGCAGACTCACTAGTACCCAGGGCAGCAGGCTCTATACCTGGGTCAGGCGGCACACACAGGTAACAGTCTCCCTCGGCACTAACAGTCAATGCATACATGGCAGCAATAATAGCATCATAGTCAAGAGCAAAGACATCAACACCAGCCCTCATGAGCTCAGCCCAGCGGGGGCGCTCAACATCCGCACCCATCTCCTCACGCCAAGCGTCGTCAAGGCGGGAGAAGCAGCGGTACGGGGTGTGGAACCTCCCACACGTCTGTCCCTTGCGGTCACCTGTGCGAATGACATAAGAACAGCGGGCACTGGCCCCCGACGTCCCACGCTGAGCAAGCCACTCACGAAGCTGCTGGGTCGTCTGGGGACGCTGCTGCTGCTGGGAGCTCTGGCCAGAGCCAGTGCCTCCACTCCGACCTCCGCCGCCACCACTACCACCGCTCCGACCGCCACCGCCACCACCGCCACCACCGCCACCGCCGCCACCGCCGCCGCCGCCACTACTGCCACTGCTCCCTCCGCCGCCCCCGTCTCCACCACCGACCCCACTCCCACCAGCGCTCCCGCCACCGCTCCCTCCAGCACCGCCTCCCCCCCCACCTCCCCCACCTCCTCCCCCACCAGCGCCACCACCACCACTTTTGCCCCCCTTGCCCTTGCCGGTGCGGCGCCTCCCACCAGGAGTAGAAGCAGCGCCAACAGACTCAGCACCAAGGAAGTCAACAGCAGCAGCAGCAGCGTAGGAGGGAGCGAGGGGAGAGGGAGAACACCCCTCAAAGATGGGGGTGCGAGGAGCGCCACGAGCAGCACCGACAGCTACAATGCTCTTTTCGGCCGCGAGCAGGTGCTCCTCTAGGAGGGCGACTGTGAGCTCAGTGGGACAGCGAGCAAGGAAGTGGTCTCGAACTGAGCGGAGGGTGTCAGGGAGACGGGTGACTATGAAGTGGAGTGTCCAGTACAGGGGAGGGGGGTTCTTAGCGCAGAACTCGGTGGGAAGGGCGGCACGCAGGCGAGCATCACTAGTGCGAAGGTGGGTGATAAGATCGGCGACTGTAGTAAAGGTGGACAGATCGGGGAACAGGTACGGCAGCATGAGGCGGCTAAGCTCGGCTGTGGCAGGCGAGGAGTAGCGAGCGACGACAGCGTCGTACAGGGCCTTAGCGGATTTGCAGTCGCCAAAATGCTCTAGCTCAGCTAACGGCAGGTGACTGCGAATGGCTAGGCGAGCAGCTGCGTCACGAGTCTGCCAGTGGGAACGAACACTAAGCTCAGCTGTGGCAGGAGGGGCAGGCGCAGCACCAGACGCGTAGTCATAGAGCGACACATGCTCCTTGCTATCGCTCAGGAGAAACAGCTGCAGGTCATCTAGCCAAGCGGTGAAACGCACAGGGCGGCCCTCAGCATCGAACGACAGCACGCGAATGGAAGCCATAGCGACAGTGTGACAGAGTAACGCAAGCTGCCGCAGCAGGGGAAGGCGACTGTGCACGGATAGAGAGCAGCGGGCGAGGCTGGCGCTACGGGCAGGCGGCGCTGCAAGCGGTCAGTGCGACGGGAGGGCGACGCTGCGAGCGGGCAGCGCGGCGGACGGGCCGGGAAGCGGGCAGCGCGGCGGGCAGGCGGCGCTGCAAGCGGGCAGCACGGCGGGCGGGCGACGCTGCGAGGCGGGCGGGCCGCAAAGCGGGCAGCGGGCGGGCGGGCGGGCTGCGAAGCGGGCAGCGGGGCGAGCGGGCTGCGATGCGGGCGGGCCGCGAAGCGGGCAGCGAGCGGGCGGGCGGGCTGCGAAGTGGCGGGCCGCGAAGCGGGCAGCGAGCGAGCGGGCTGCGAAGCGGGCGGGCCGCGAAGCGGGCAGCGAGCGGGCGGGCGGGCTGCGAGCGGGCGGCTCGGCGAGGGGCGCGCGAGGGCGCTAGTGAGGGGCGCGCGAGGGCGCTAGTGAGGGGCGCGCGAGGGCGCTAGCAAGGGGCGCGCGAGGGCGCTAACAAAGGGGCGCGCGAGGGCGCTAACGAAGGGGCGCGCGAGGGCGCTAACGTGGGTGCGCGCGAGGGCGCTAACGAGGGTGCGCGCGAGGGCGCTAACGAGGGCGCACGAGGGCGCTACGAGGCTAGGGCACGGGGTAGCGTGGTAACCGCATGCGAGCGGTGGTGGGCCCTAAAAAAAAAACGATCGGTAGGTCCTAGGGACCTCCTGCTCTGATACCATTTCAGAATCACTAGGCAAGAATGATGAACTAGCAGAAGTTTGGGTACAAATGTGAAACCCTAGTTGGGGTTGTACCCCATATTGGCTACCCCACTACAGCCTACAAGCATACTACAGTTTAACAGGTACTGCCAAAGACATCCTTAACATATTGAGCAAGATCCTGACTAAGGCCACCGTGGGATTGTAATAGATCCGCCCCCATCCTTTTGCCCGCATCTCTGCTCCTAACTGTTCGACACCACATCTTGGCCGCCTCCAATCTCTTTTGTCTCCAACATTTAGTAGTCACCAGCCTTGATGAGGAAGTCCTTCAGGATAGCGAAATCACGTGTTTACGTGCACAAATTTGTAGCTGACCATTTTGCCATGTTCGCTAATGCTTCATGCTATCTGAAATTGGTTAGGACCTAGTATTGACGTAATTCGTTCTTAAGTCTCACATCCCTATGACGAGACATGCTACAACGAATCGCGGCACGATTCGTCGCGGAGAGCAAGGGATTATCGACCCGGCCATGCTCAGCACACGGCCGGTCATTGGACAGCCGCGCGATGGTCGAGTTGATGGCGCTGCGGAAGCAAAAGGCACCCTCTGCTTGACCCCACGAATTCGAGCCAACACTTCACGTCAAGACTCACGATACGCAACCTTGGTGGTACATAAAGTAGACGACACTCACTCTTCAAATCATTATCGAATTTGATCAGGGCTCTCTCTAACTCGAAGACTCTTCAGCCTCTCTTGCTTTTTCAGTTCCAGTACTTCAGCACTCGATCATGGCTCGCGTTTCCTTCATCGCTTTACTCGTCCTGGCGCTGTCGTGCGCCGCGTGCGTGTCGCGGATATCAGCCGCACCAGTGGTTCGCGATGGAACTCTTCAGTGGACTCTCATCACGCAGGCCCTGCAGAAGGGAGGCCAGCACAGCACCTACCTTTCCATCGTCAACAAAGCGGGTTTGTAGACTCCGTGAGCGACATTCAGCTTCTCTTTCCTCGGTTCTGCGAGGGATAGTTTCTTTTACCTCGAAATTAATTGCCGCAACGTCGAAACTCCTTGCAGCACTCTTCCGCGTGATCTAACGGATGCTGATGTTTTTCTGGCTTGCAGGCACGAAGTTTATCACAGACTACCTCTCCACCTCCACCACTGGCTTTACCTGCTTTGTGCCAACAAACGCGGCGTTCAAAGTTCAGATGTCTACCGTCCTGGTAAGTACTCTCGCTGCTTAACAAATGGAAGGACTCTCACCCACTAATTTCTTGTTCCATTAACTCTTCTACGGACTCTCAGACACTCCTTGCTAAATTTCTTTGCGATTAATCCTTCGCACGTCGCTCACGCCTCCTCGGATCTTTTTCTGACATCCCGTGCTCGTGCCTTATTGCGCCACGCAGAAGCCATTTGCCAAGAGCGCGACGACTCTCCAGGACCTTCTGAAGAACCACATGCTCAACTTCCAGGCCCTGCCCCCGCGCTTCGTCGCCGACAAGGTCGGCCAGGGATACACCACGTTCCGCCCCAACGGTCAGATTCAGAAGTACCAGGGTGCCGGCAAGACTATTAGCCTGGGCCCGCAGTTCGCGCAGCAGGGCACGCAGCTCGCGAACATCACCAAGGTGCTGTTCAAGGACCCCACGGCTATCTGCTACGAGATCAGCAATGTCCTTGTCCCCCTCAAGTAGATGTTCGGTAAAGCAATCGCAGCTCAGTCTCTTATATACGGCTGCAGCACAGGTGCCAAACTTCCTTCCGTCTCAGTAACTAGTCCCTTATTTTTTTTTTTCCTTTTAGTAACTAGTGCCTTCAGTCTTAATAACGAATGTTGCACGAGTATTGATGAGTCTGTACGGATCCTTCAAAATGACATTGTTCTGCTGCATAACAGTACCATCCCTGAAGCCCTAAAATAGTCGCAGGAGCTCGCGAACCACCTCAGAAGCCAATCAAGTCTTGTGTATTATTGCAGTTGTAAGCTTAAAAAAAAAAAAAAAAAATCCCCCGGATTTAAGACCCCCCCGAGGGGGGAGGGGAGAAGGTTTTTCCTTTGGGTATAATTGTCTTGATATACAAACAAAGATTGACATAAATGTCCTGTGGAATTGATATTTAATCCACAATGTATCATACTTTCAGAAATTGATTATGAACTACCTCACAAGCCTAGCACTGTTTCTGACGATTTATTGTTTCAAACGTTACGGTGACAATACTTTCCTTTACAGATGTTGGGATCAGCCTGTGATACTTTTGTCATTCAATCGTGTGACACCAAAATCATCTGTATAATGTATTTGTTGATGTATTGGAGTTGTGCAGCTTTGTATCTGTAGCGGTAACTGCGACTCACACCACGCGTATGAATTCCTCCCCCAACTTTATTTCCCCGTTTTGACTGCTGGATGCCTTGAGTTTGACATGACATGACACCCCCTAGATTCCCTATGCTGGCGACGCTTTGCTTAGAGAGAAACAACCCTTGACGTTCGCGGGAGCGTGTGGATGCGGCATCGCACGGCGGCATGCACGCTGTTTGTTAGAGCCTCGTTCGTCCGGGTACCACACCGGTACTGAAGGGCCTCGCTGGTACTCTACGATGCAGCCTCGCTGCCGTCAGGCCCTCACCACGCCTCGTTTCCCCACACTCGCACCGTTTCGGTCTCTAACCGTCGCGATTCGACTCCGCTTCTTCACAAGATTAGATCGTATCGGGTATCGTTCGTAGCGCGAATGCCGCGTGTAGTCCCCGCAGCGTCTTCGGCGGGGCTTGCTCATGAGTATGAGCGCGAACAACATCAGCATCATCAGCATCCTCACCAGCGTCACTCACAGGCAGTGCGCGCGTGCGCCATCGCGGAAAATGCCCCCGGGGGGGCAGCAGCGCCAACGGCTGTAGCAGCCCGCGCTACAGATGCGCACCCCGTTCCAGACGCAGCGCCAGCGCGTCTCGCGGAGCGGAGCAGTGCGGAGGGGGCAGCTGTAGCGCGCAGCGGCGGAGCGGTTGCCGCGCCTTCGGAAAGCGCCGAGGCGGAAACGGCGCTAGAGGGTGCGGTGGCGGAACGATTTGCGGAGATTCTGTCGCGGATGGCAGGGAACCACACCGCCGGAGTGGCGGGGGAGGCGCAGGCGGGAGTGGGGGGAGAGCGGGACGATGGGGGATCTCAGCGGAAAGCGGAAGAAGAAAGAAAGGGCGCAGTATCAAGAAATCTTGAACCAGGGGGAACGGGGGACGAGGGGGAAGAGAGGGGAGCGGGTGGAACGGCGGGTTTGAGGAGGGAGGAGGGCGGAGAGGAAGCAGAGGAGGCGGCGGAAGAAGAGGAGGAGGAAGAGGAGGAGGAAGAGGAGGAAGAGGAGCCGATACTTAAGTACCAGAGGCTAGGAGGCGACGTGCCGCAGATAGTGCGCGGTGGCGTGCAGGCAACGTGCGTGTCCGTGTCTGATAAGATGCTGGCGCTCGGCACGTCCGATGGCTGCGTGCATGTGCTCGACCTGCTCGGTAACCAGGTATGCCCTCTCTCTTCCCCCTCCCTTCTTCCTTCCCTCTCCCGCCCCCATCCCTCCCTTCCGTCGCTTTCCTCTCTTCCCTCCCGTCCCCCCTTCCCTCCTTAGCACGTCCGATGGCTGCGTGCATGTGCTCGACCTGCTCGGTAACTACGTGTGCCACCATCTGCCTTCTCCTGCCCCTCTCCCACTTTCTCCCCCGCCTCTCTCCTCCTGCGTCTTCCACCCCTCTCGCTTCTCTCCCTTCCGCTCCTTGCACGAGGCAATGGGAGTGGCAGGCTTGCAGTGGAGTTTGACGCAGCAGTCACTACTCTCCCCTTACTCCCCTTTCCCACACCCCCTACCCCCTCCTTCTGCTTCTCTACCTCCCTCTCTCCCTCTCCTCCCCCACTTCCTTCCCCACTTCCTCCCCACGCGCGCACAGCTGAAGCAGTACGACTCACACAAAGCGCCAGTGCAAGCAGTGGTGTTTGACGCAGCAGTGAACCACATCGCCTCGTTTCCACTCCACGTGCTACCCTCCCCTGTTCCGCTCCCACCTGTGCCCCGCCCCTCTGTTTCCCCTCCCACAACCAGGTAAAGCAGTATGAATCACACAAAGCACCTGTGCGGGCAGTGGTGTTTGACGCAGCAGTGAACCACATCGCCTCGTGCGCGCACGACGGCTCGCTCGCCATCCACGGGCTCTTCTCCCCGGACTGCCTGCTGCTCAAGTACCGCCTCCCACTCCTCGCCCTCGCTCTGCACCCCTCCTTCGGCTCCTCGCGCCGCTCCAGGCAGTTTGCCACGGGCGGGGAGGCTGGGGAGCTTGTGTTGAACTCCAAGGGGTGGCTTGGGGCTTCGGATCAGGTATGAAAAAGTGGGAGGAATGGGACTGGGGTTGGGGAAGGTCGCGTCAGTTTGCCACGGGCAGGGAGGCTGGGGAGCTGGTGCTGAATTCTAAAGGATGGCTGGGAGCGTCTGATCAGGTGCGATGGGGGAGGAGGGAGGGGGGAGGGGGTAGGGGAGGGTGGGTTCTGAGCTGAGTTGAAGCAGAAGGGAGGGAGGCTGGGGAGCTGGTGTTAGATTCCAAGGGGTCGCTGGGAGCGTCTGATCAGGTGGGGAAGAGAGGGGGAGCGGGGAGGAGGAAGGGGAAGGGGTGAGGAGGACGGAGGGTGGAGAGAGGAGGGATGAGGGAGTAGAAGAAAGGATAGGGGAGTTGGGGAGGGGTGAGGAGTGGTTGTGAAGGGTGCAAAGAGAGGGGTTTGAGGAACACGAGGCAGGCACTCCATTTGACCATATAAGCTGCGCTTCTAATTTAAAGCTGTCCCTATAAGAGTAAGTTTCAAACACCCCTCTGTCTGGCTCTCCCCTCCTCCAACCCCCTCCCTCTTCCCCTGCTCTTCCTTCTCCCTCTACTCCTCTCTCTTCCTCGGATCCTCATCCCCTCATCCCCACACATATGTGCATCCCAGATACTGCATGCAGGGGAGGGCGCCATCACGTGCATAGTGTGGCACGGCACGGTGCTGCTGTGGGCGAACGAGCGGGGTGTGAAGCTCTTCTGTCTCGCGTCCTCCACGCCCCTCGCCCACGTGGACCGTCCTCGCTCCAACCTCACTGCTGGGATCGACTCCCGCCCGCATGTCTTCTGGATGGTACGCCCCTGCTGCTGCTGCTGCTGCTGCTGCTGCTGCTGCTGCTGCTGCTGCTGCTGCTGCTGCTGCTGCTGCTGCTGCTGCTGCTGCTGCTGCTGCTGCTGCTGCTGCTGCTGCTGCTGCTGCTGCTGCTGCTGCTGCTGCTGCTGCTGCTGCTGCTGCTGCTGCTGCTCCCGCCGCCGCCGCTGCCGCCGCTGCTGCTTCTTCCTGATAGAAGCTGTCTGGTGCTGCTTGTATGTTGTCTCGTAGGATGTCATGTACTCAGCTAAACCCTGGTAGGACACCAGGCTCAGCTTTTGATGTGGGTGTCTTTGCTGTATGGCATGAGATGGCATGGCATGGCACGGAATGGCATTTCATTGTACGTATGGTGTGGCTTTTAATATGCTTCACCTGCGTGGCATGGCATGGCATGCATGCATGAATGATATCAGGACGACACGACACTTGCCATAGGGTGGGCGGACACGGTAAAGATAGCTGCCATTCGCACTCGCTCCGCCGCACCTCCTGCTGCCACTGCAGCAGCAACAACAACCGGCCCCACCACCACCGCCACCACCGCCACCGCCGCCACCGCCGCCACTCCCAGCAGCAATAGTAACGCGGCCACCTCCCCTGCAGCAGCACCAGCAGAACCAGCAGCAGCATCACCAGCAGCAGCAGCAGCAGCAGCAGCAGCAGCAGCGCGGTACCTAGCAGTGCTGGCAGTGCTGCGAGTGGAGCATCTGATAGCTGGTCTCGCTCCCTATGCTGACCGGCTTCTTGTGCTCTCCTGCCCTTTTCCTTCCTCGCATTCCCACCCTCCTCCTCCTCCTCCTCCTCCTCCTCCTCCTCCTCCTCCTCCTCCTCCTCCTCCTCCTCCTCCTCCTCCTCTACCGCCTCTTCCACCCCTCCACCCCCCCCATCCACCCAAACCCCCCTCCAATCTCCACCCACTCTCCCCTCCCCACCTGAAGGAACCACTTTTCTCCCAAATCAAAACCCCACTCCTGTATCCACCCTCGAGGCCTCATCTTCCCTCCCATCGGCCTCACCACCCCCATCAGTTCCAGTCCCACTTCTGGGGTCTGCATCGAATGCACCGGCTGCACCGGCTGCATCGGCTGCATCGGCTTCACACCAGCAGCCATCCCCCCAGCAGCAGCAAGCGTCCATCCTGCAGGCATCGCCCCCTGAGCTGCGCATGCTCACACTGCGCAACCAGGAAGTCATGTGCGACGCACTGCCCCTGCACGGCTTTCAACACACCGCCCTCACACACTTCGCCCTCGCCCACTCGCCTTTCTCCGGTATGTCCCTGGCCCTTTTCGGGTGTAGCCTGCCTGCCTGCCAGGCTGCCACTATCTTGCATGCTCACGCTGCGCAACCAGTAAGTCATGTGTGACGGGCTGCCCCTGCACGGCTTCCAACACACCGCCCTCACACACTTCGCACTCGCCCACTCGCCCTTCTCCGGTATGTGTGATGTGCTGCCCCTTACCCTGCCACTCTGTCGCCCACTCGCCCTTTTCCTGTGTACCCTGCCCACCTGCCACTCTCTCCCTGCTCCCTCCTGCTCCATTCTGCGCGCTGTTTTTGAGAATTCTCGAAACAATTTCGGAAAGCATGCATCGCGACCCGTTGTGCGTGTGGGCGTGGCTCTCCTCAATTCCCATTCCCACCCAACCCACCCCACCATGTGGTGCTGCAGGCAGCAGCATCCAGGGAACTTTTGAGTCATTTGAAAACTCGCACCTCTCAGCCCTCGCCCCCCCATGCTCCATGCTCCAACCCCACCATGTGGTGCTGCAGGCAGCAGCATGCAGGGCGCGCAGTGGCATGCAGGCAGCGAGCCGTGCTTCGTCATCCTGTGCCCATTCGACGTGCTCGTGGCGAGACCACGGTGAGGCTCCTCTTGCCTCTCCTCTCCTCTCCTCTCCATTATTGTTGACCCAAACAGCGAGCCGTGCTTCGTCATCCTGTGCCCGTTTGATGTGCTCGTGGCGAGACCACGGTGAGGCTCCTCTTGCCTCTCCTCTCCTCTCTTCTACTCCCCTCTCCTCTCGCAAATGGTCCTTGAATCAATACGCATAAGGGTTTACAGGCAAGTGGCTAACAGGGGAGTGGCTAACAGGGCAGGGTGCAAAATTTCGCCGAATTTTTCATTTTTTGGGCGAAAATTTCGCCATCGAAATTTTCGACCGAATTTTTCGATAATTTCGGTCCCCCTCCCAAAAAACAAAATGGTGGAAAATTTCGCCGAAATTTTCAGGAAAAAAAAATGAGAAATTCGTGTGTAAATTGATAAAATTCGGGTGGACATTGTAATGGCATTTCGCCGCCAGATCTAGGCGGATCTGGCATTTCGCCATTAGATCTAGGGCGGATCTGGCATTTCGCCATTAGATCTAGGGCGGATCTGGCATTTCGCCATTAGATCTAGGGCGGATCTGGCATTTCGCCATTAGATCTAGGGCGGATCTGGCATTTCGCCATTAGATCTAGGGCGGATCTGGCATTTCGCCATTAAATCTAAGGCGGATCTGGCGTTTCGTAGCCAGAGAAATTTAGGCAGTTTTTTTTTTTTTTTTTGTCTATTAAAATTTCGCCGAAATTTTACAAAAACGGCCGTAATTTTCGATCGAAAAATTCGGTTCGAAATTTTCGCTTAGCGCAATTTTCCACCTTGTAACAGGGGAGTGCCTAACAGGGGAGTGCCTAACAGGGGAGTACCCTAAACCCTCTCCTCGCTCTCATGCTCACTCGGCCCACCAACCTTGCTCACCCCCCCTCACCCCCCCCCTTCACTCCCCGCTCCGCCTCGCTCTTCCCCCCACTCGTGCACTCAGTATCCTTAGCTCGCTTTCCTCCGTTGCGCCTGCCTCTGCCTCTGCCTCTGCCTCTGCCTCTGCCTCACTGCCCCTGTTTCCCCCAGTGATGCCCAGGACCACGTGCAATGGCTGCTGGCACAGGACAGAGTGCAGGCAGCACTCGAGGCAGCAGAGAAGGCACTATTCACTCCCCTCTCATTTTCCCCTGGTTCTGCCCCTGCACTTGCTACTCCTTTTTCTTAGTGATGCCCAGGACCATGTGCAATGGCTGCTGGCGCACGGGAGAGTGCAGGCAGCACTCGAGGCGGCAGCAGAGCAGGCAGCAACCAATCCTCCCTCCCCCCTGCATTCCCTTCCTCATGCCCCTGCTCCCTGCACCTTTCCTCCCCCAGTGACGCCCAGGACCACGTGCAGTTGCTGCTGGCGCACGGGAGAGTGCAGGCAGCACTCGAGGCGGCGGAGCAGGGACTCTTCACTCCCCTCTCATTTGCCCCTGTCCCTGCCCCTGCACTTGCTACTCTTTCCCCCCAGTGATGCCCAGGACCACGTGCAGTGGCTGCTGGCGCACGGGAGAGTGCAGGCAGCACTCGAGGCAGCAGAGAAGGCAGCACGGGGCAGCGGAGGGGGAGTGGACGGGGAGGCGGTCGGGGAAGGGCAGGAGGGGAGTGCGAGTGGTAGGAACGGGGATGTGGTTGCAGAGAACAGACTGGTCCAAGAGGTGAGGTGAGGTCAGGTGAGGTGCGGTGTGGTGAGGTGTGGTGAGTACGGTGAGGTGAGGTGTGGTGTGTGCAGCAGGTGAGTAAGATTGTCGTTTCGCCTACTCTAGCTTCTGACTTTCAACTCCTCCTTTGTAGCACCCTTGGGAAATCTAAAAAACGTGATACATCCTGCTTCACCAAACTCTTCAATCCCATTTGTTTACTCCCTGCCTCTCCACTCCACCTCCCAAATCTCGCCCGTGGGAAAGGGGGCCTGATTTCCTCCTGGGTTCAACCAAAAGCCCCCCCCACCACCCCCCCCCCCCAAAAAAAAAAAAAAAATCCCCCCCCCCAAAAAAAATCCAAAATCTCGCCTTTTCACCACCCACCCTCCCTCTTCAAACCCATCAGGTGGGGTGGCGCTATTTGCCTGGGAGAGGTCTCTCCCTCTTTCTCTGCTTCTCCTTCTCTCTGATTTGCCTATACTACCATCTAGTGCTCCAGCGAAAGTGCGGTCCGGCAGCATATTTTGAGTCGTCTGAAAACACCACCCACCCTCCCTCTTCAAACCCATCAGGTGGGGTGGCGGTATCTAGACCATCTGGTGCTGCAGCGCAAGTACGCCCAAGCAGCAGCGCTCTGCCCCAAGCTGCTCGGATTTAACACCACTGCCTGGGAGAGGTCTGTTGCTCTCTCTGCCT